AAATCAAGAACTTTTCCTTTCCCTTGTGTCCTTCTAATACACTGAGACATTTGAAGTAGTTTAAGCCTCTGTCATGTAAAATGTTCCTTAGTATGGTTTTATGGGAATGTTTTCCTGGAGATTAGATTCCAGTGGTGTGTTCTGGCGAGGTTACTCAGCTCCTGAGTGCATGCGTGCCCCGTGGTATCGACTGTGCCCAGGCTGCGTGGTTGCATTTTGTGCCATTGTTAGCGGTGCTTAAGTTAGCACTTGGTAAGGTGCTGTCTTCCAGGCCTCTGCATTAGTGGGTCTCTGTTTTACAAAAAGTAATTAATTAAAAGAAATGAATGGCTCTTTAAGACATTGTAAATACTCTATTTCCCAATTTGCCTAAAGTTTTAACGTTGATGGATGAAGCTTTTCTAAAAGTTGATGGCCTCAGTTATTCTGTTGAGAAGTGACTTTTCTAATTTTGTTTGCTGTGCTTTAGAATTCATCTGCGGTAATGAATCCCCACATTTTTTTAAATTAAGAGAAACATGTTTCATCTCAGTGATAAACAATGTATCACTGTACTTATTGATATCATTCTCAAAATGATCTGTTAATATACCAAACTTCCATTTAAAAATGGCCAAAATGAAAGAGTTCTAAATACTGTCTTTACAAGGGTGAGTGCAGGGCTCCATTTTAAGCCATAATCCACATACAAAATGTGAAAGCCCTGAAGTGATAAAATAGAGTAACAGGTGAAATATGCTCCAGTTCTTGGGTTGATGATAATTAGAGGCAATTTGGGATGCATATTCCCAAGTACTCAGTGTTTGAACTGCTAAGAAAGGCAGCTTGGCCTTTAAACTTGACTATGCTATTACTTGGCCTGTCTGTTTGGAAGGCTTACTGTTTTTCTTTGAATACGGGCTTCCTCAATCATAAATCAGAGATTGGTCTCAATGACTTCCAACATTTCTATCCTCTCAACTTCTTTATCTCTCATTTTCAGGGAACAGCTTTAATAACATCACTGACTTCTGTGTTACATGATGACCAAGAATTCCCTAATCCAGAGATATTTGACCCTGGCCACTTTCTGGATGAGAATGGCAACTTCAAGAAAAGTGACTACTTCATGCCTTTCTCAATAGGTAATAGGATTTCCATCTGTATTTTTGGGGGCAAAACAAGGTTTTAGGACCAGCTATGACTTTCATAGTGCCTCCTCTCATGCTGGTATGTTTTCACTTTGTGTATTATTGAGGAGCACAACCCCATTACCCTTGCATTTTCCCTGATCATAGTACATCCTCATTATTAGTGGGGTTTTGCAAAATGTGTGACCTAGCCTTCCTAATTGGGGACGCTAGAGTGCAGGTCAAATGAACGCTGCCTCTGGATATATCATTGAGCTATTGGAAGTTTGTCTTAGAAGTGAAACTCATTTAGTTGTTCTTAGCTGCACAGCAAAAGTGTCTATGTCTACCTTTGGGTGTCTGCCCTGTGGTGTCCCTCACTTCCAGACTGAGATGGGTGGATGCAAGAATTCTACAGCACCTATGCGTTCCCTCATGAGTTAGAGAAGAGCAAAGAGATCATTAGTCCAACAGGATGAGTGCAAATTGCTGAGGAGGGCAGAAGGGGAAGTTGTTAGCATTTTGATTTTTATATCCTGACATATTCTAACAGGAAAAGGGACAATGAAAGTGCCTCACAGTGGGTTGGAATCAAGAAATGAGGAAATGGCAAGGTACTTCTAGGAGAGGTTGTATACAGGAGAGGCTAGGGTTTTTTTTTTCGGGGGGGGGGAGGTGACTGGCTCAGTCCACCCTAGGGGCAGGGCTGGCATGACATGTGTTGCTGGGGATCAAATCGCTATCCCTGCACGCTTGCCAAAGCTCGCCTAAACAAGTGCTTTAGACTGCTAAGCCATTTTGCCGGCCCGAGGGCAGCTTGTATAGATTCAAAAGTCAGAATCTTCAAAAATGAAACAGAACAGCTGAAGAATTAGAACTATGAATGGACATTCTGCAGTGGTTCCAAGAGCTCTGGTATTCCCACACTTGTGATCACGCAGGCTGGACATTCAATCTCATTCCTAAATTGCACATGCTGAGAATCTAGACATAGAGTGACCTTCATTATTTGCTGTGGCTTCGATGTATATGCTGGGTCTGCACCATACATATCAAGATGTCCAGGACTGAGACCTTCTTTTAAGGAACTGATTTTGCCAAAACAACAACAACAAATAACAGAATAGCTATCATGGTGATGCATGTGTCTGAGGGTAAGGTTCTGATTCCTGAGGGGATTATAATTATTATAAAGAGAAAATGACATAGGACATACATCCATATGGAAGAACATAGCCAGATTGAACAGCATGAGATGAAGCTGGAAATTTCATGGTGTTTTGAGACTAAAGAAGAGCCATGGCAAGATCTTAAAGGAAAGTGTGAGAAATGGAAATAGAGATTTAATAATAGAGAGGGAACAGGATGTGGAAGTCTAGATTAGGTCATTGAACCTTGTATCAGAAGACATGCACAAGAGCCACTTAAAGTTTTAAAGTGAGAGAGCGATACATGTAGGCGGGTGACTTTGAAGTTGCAGTAGGGAAAAATAATCTATGGCTCAGTGCTATTCTAGAGAAACACTGCTTCTGTTCATCTTTTTCTCTTCAACCCTATGGACAGAAATAGGTTTCTTTTTTAGAAACATAGTTTTGTAAACAATCTAAAATGTTAAAAATAGGAATTATAATGTGCGAATAGGTATTGACATTGTGATGTAGAGCCAATAGTCAATATGTATTATATTTGTGAAGGAAGTGTGCCTGATTCTGTGAGCTATAAAGTAGAAAGCAAGTGCGCAGTTCTTCTCTGTATCTGTCTATCCAACAACCTCATCTGTCACATAGCCATAAATTAGTTACTGCCCCTTGCTTTTGGTTACAGTTCAGAACCTAATGTTCAATGAGGGAATCCTGTATGTTTGTTGTTTTCCAGGAAAACGGATGTGTGTGGGAGAGGGGCTGGCTCGTATGGAGCTGTTCTTGTTCCTGACAACCATTTTACAGAGTTTTAATCTGAAATCCTTGGTTGACCCAAAGGACATTGAAACCATCCCAATTGCTAATACATTTGGCCATGTACCACCTTTGTACAAGCTACGCTTTATTTCTGTCTGAAGAGGGGCACGATGCCTGGGTACTTTTGTGCTGTCACCTGCAGCTTTGTCTCAACAGGAGATAATCCATCTCCTTCCCATCATTATGTGCACCTTCCTTCAGCTCTCCTCTTACATTTTGTCAGTCCTTCGTAATCCAGTGAACAGCCGACCCTCACTGAGGAGAATATTGTGGTCACTACACAAGAAAACCACAATCCTCTACACTCTGCAGCAACTGTGTTGAATACTACAAGTGCTAATACTTACCTAATGCTAAATTATTGGAATTATCTCATTGTTAAACAACAAATGACTTAATTATTATCAAATCTCATTATTAAGTGATCTTATTATTAAACATATGGTTTAATATGACAATTCAGAGCCATTCTTCACTGCTGTGAATAAAAAGTATTATTAGTTCCTGGGCTGTGTTTCCGACTTTCCTTCTTTTGCACATAATGCAGGTAAGAAATGGGTCTCATGCATCATGCCTTCATAGTGATCTGCAAAGTAAAGCCCTAAGAAGAAGGCAGACAATCTGAAGGCTGAGCAACTCTTATAGCTCTGGGTGATTTGTATTTGAAAGACAGAAACTGCTTCCAAAAGTAGCAGTGACTCTCGACAAGCACTGGGGGAGTCAGCTATAGGGGGGTGAACACTAGGAGCTCGTACGTCTCCTGCCTCCACTTTGGTGTTAATCTCAATGGAACATAAAGATTTAGGACATTCTTTCTCCATTGTTTTCAACTCAGAGTATGGATTAATTTATGTGTAGATATTACTAATAAGGTATTCTGAGTGTTATTTTTCTCTCTCCAAAGAACAAAAAATTATTGCAAACCCTGACATAGACCTATTGTTTTTTTACTTTTTAATCACATTGTTTTACACTCAACATAAACGTGATGGCAATTTGATGCTGTGACTTTAAAACTGTGCCATTTCTATTATGTAGACAACCCAACATCTTATACATAACAATTCCTGCTCATCCTTTTTTCCTTTTTTTTTTTTTTTTTTTTTTTTTGTGGAACTGGGGATTGAACTCAGGGCCTTATGCTTGCCAGGGAAGTGCTTATTCCACTGAGCCATCTCCCCGGACCCCATTTTTTCCATTTTTTAAAAAGGATTTTTATTTATTTATTATTTATTTTTCTGTATTTTAGGGAAGGGTCTACAGGGAGTTCAGGGTCTCATTATTGGATCAGACTTGCAGTGATTCTCCTGTTTACAGTCTCCCAAGAGCTAGAATTACATGCGCTACACCATATCCAGTCTCAATTGCTGTCTCGGCGCAGCCCGGGGACAGGACCAGCACTGCAGGCCCAAGGATCGAACCCCCAGCCCCTGCACCTGCTTTCAGGCACTTTATTCCACTGAGCTATTTGGATGGCCCTGGGTTATCTTTTTTTCCTATCCTCTAGTTTTGAAGTGTATGAAACACTAAAGGTATCATCTGTTAAAGTTTACCCATATCATCTTCCTGAAAACCCATATTGTGGCATGAATTGAGAGAAAACACACCCATATATATGCATAAATATGTATGTACCTATATCTGTATACATGGTGTATATGCACATGTAATATATTATATATGTCCATGTATACCTGAAATTAAAAGTGCTTCTTGGGAAGAAGTTTCCTGAGTGTGCTGGTCAGAGGTTGTCGGGCCAGGCTGGGGACTCTGCGACTTCACATCTTTAAATGGATGAGATGGCTGCCACTCAGAATTCCACAGATGAGCTTGATGAACTCAGAGAAGCCCTTG